TTGGCCCAACCCAGACTAGGAGTGCAATCCTCACCCTGGTGGAGGAGCCCAGTCCTAGTGACAGGAAGGGCCCAGGCTGGCTCACTGGTGCTGGGTATGGGGAGAGTCCCTACAGCCACCTCTGCCCCAGGAAGCATTTGCTGGCTACTGCTCCTCCTCCAGCCACACCGTCAGGGCATCCGGGTGCCCGCGTACGTATCTCACTAGCAGGAATGGTGTGGGTGGAACAGTCCTGGAGGATTGCCTGGGAGAGTCCTGGCAGTCCAGAGTTCCTCAGTCCTCTGAGGCTACCTCCTGCACTCAGCCCTGCCTGCTTCAATGGGCCTGGGGCACGGAAGTAACTATCTCCCCACTGAGCAGAGGGCTTAAGCCACAACAAAGGCTCCCCCTGTCCTGGGCCTGCTGCATCTCCTCCTGCTCAAAGATGAGTACCAGCTTCTGCTCACTTGGCATGCCCTAAAAGCCAGGCCTGGCCACTCTCCGACCAGCCTGTAGTCTGCATTCTGGCCAGAATGAAACCTCCAGAGACCTCTCTATCCCGAGTCTCAGACGTGGGAGCCACAGCCTGCTGTCCCAGAGTGACCCTTGGAGTGACCCTCTGTGTGGCATTTGAGCCAGGAAGGCTAAGGAGGACACATTCACTATGAGAGGCTGTTGAATTTCTGGCAAACCTTGAACCTGCCTTATATTAAAACTTTTCTAACAGGTTGGTGTCAAAGGGCTGTCCAGGCCTGTGTGGGCTCCACTTCTCCTGGAGGAAGAGAGCCTTTGCGAGGTCCCCAGAGGGCCAGGATGTACCCTGCACAGATCCCGAATCTTCCTGCCTTCTTGGTCAGGCCTTATCTCAGACTCTAGGCCCCTCGCCCCTCCACTTCCCATGGGCAGCCGTGCAGCAGCGTGGGACAGTCCCATCTGCATGGAGCTGGCCCAGCCATGGCCCCCAGCCCCACTCAGACATGTGGCCAGCCAGCCTTGGCCAGGAATAATTTGCTCAGTTGGCCAGCCTAGGTGCAGGGGCTAACGAGATGCATGCACTGGCGTCAGTGATGTGGCTGGAGGGGCGGTGGTATCCAGCAAATTCTCCCCAGGGGCACAGTCCTGATACAGGGGAGGTGGGTCACTCGGTGATTATGAGTGAAGCACACTAGTAAGATGCTGGCCAGTTAAACCTTACTGACAAGAAATGCTTGGTGGCTATTTAGCAGCATCTCTGTCCCAAAGTCATTCCAGAGGGAGACTTGTAAGTCCAGGAAGGGAAATTACACAGGCTCAATCTCCAAAGCCGCCGCCCACCTGGAGGTGGAATCCTCTAGGGCCCAGCCCTTAGGCTCCTCCTCCAGAAAGCTCTCCTGAATCTCCCCCACTTCTGCATGTCCTCTGAATCTATGGGTGCTGAGACTTAGGCAAGCCAGCCCTGGAGGCAGAGCAGAGCAGTGGTTACACAGACCAGGTCTGAACCCTGGCTCTGACTCTCACGAGTGGTGTGACCCTAAGCAAGCCACTACCCCTCTTTGAACCTTACCTCTTCACAATACATAGGGACAACCTCTGCTGGTGTGCAGCGTAGCAGTGAGAACTCATGGGGCATGAACCCCACCCAGGGTCACAAAGTTGCTGCCCTCGCCTTCTCTTGCCCCTCCCCACACCCCACCGAGGTCCCTAACTCTCCGCCTTTTTTCTTGCCTCCTGTCTCCAGGCCCTCATGGCCGTCCCCACCCAGCTTACAAGGGCGTCGCTTAGAAACACACGTCACATCCCGGCACTACCCTGCTAAACTCTGAAGCGGTGTCCCACCACACTAGAATAAAATCCACGTGCCCCTCTGCCCTTCCCACCCCCCCACCTCCACCCCCGTAGCCTCTCCAGGTTTGTTCCTGCCTCAGGGCCATTGCACTGGTGGCTCCTTTCATCTGGGACATCCAAGTCATCTGCATGGTTAGCTCCTCCTTTTTGTTTGGGTTTCCAGATTCAGTGCCACCCTGCCCCAGAGCTTTCCCTGACCCTGTCAGCTGCAGGGTGTCCCCACACCCAAAGTGTCCTCTGTTTTCCCTGCTTTGCTTTTTTTACACTCTCAGATCTTTCCTGTGTGCCCCTTTGTTCACTTGTTTATTATCTGTCTCCCACTAGCCCATGAGCCCCATGAGGATGGGGACCATGTCTGCTCTGTTCTCTACTGCATCCCCAGGGCCTAGATGGAGTCTGGCCCAGTTGGTGCCCAAGGAGCATGCGTGCTGGTGAAGGCCTTCATCGGTAAAGGGTCACCTCAGTTATTGTATGTATTGTTTGTGCAGGGTCCCACATACCCACCAGATGGCTTGTCCCTTTCTCCTGGCTCGTGTCAGCAGGGTGCGCCCCTTTTACTACCCAGGACCACCCCGGGGTGATTGTGCTGACCAGAGGGTTTTCAGCATGTTAGGCTGGATCTCTGTCTTGGGTCTGGGGCCCAGTGACATGCCTTCCACTGTCCTGTTGTAGGCAGGCATCACCCACTCCCTTGGTAGGGAAACATGAAAGGAAAATTGAACCAGTAAAATATTGGGAGTCAGAAGAGATATTGAACCAGAAAAATATCTGGGCAGCCTTTCCCCAGGCCAGAGGTGGACCCTGGCTTGAGCTGAGGCAAGGGTGAAGGGGACAAGACCCTGTTGGCCAGGCCAATGGCTCCAGAGCTCTCAGCAGGAAGGGGGACAGGAGGATAGAAGCCAGCGTCCAAGAGTAACTTGCCTGAAAGCCAACGTCCAGCTGCCTGACCTTCCCATCTCATGTAGCAATCCACAGGGCAAAGGGCAGTCAGGACCCCCAGGGTTAGCTCTGCTCTATGCCCCACTCCTTAAGTGACCTCTGTCAGCCCCGGTCCCCTCTGAGTCTCAGTTTCCCCATCGGTGGGCAAATTTGAACCCCACTCCCAGGGTGTGGTGGGTGCAAAGCCCTCAGCCCACACCTAGCACTCGGCGGGCACCTTGAAACGTCTCCCACTTTGTAGATGATGAAGAGTTTTCTGTGCTTCCTTTCATCGGAGAACAGCCTGCCTCTGGCCCCTCCATGCCTACACCCATGCACCAGGTGACTCAGAGCTACAGGAGAACAAACAAAGAGGTCACCTCAGGCATTTGGGGAGTGACAAAGGGGCCAAGATCAAGGCTGAAGGAATGAGGAACTGCAGACACCCTGGCAGGGCCATGGTGACCTGGAGGAAACATGCTGTCTGGCCCCACAGCCAGCCAAGGGCCCAAGCTACTGCCAGCAATGGAGAGGATGCCAGCCTGGACACCTGGGCACCACACCCCATAAAGACCCACCTCCCTCACCCATCTCTTGCTCATTGTCACCCAATGTCACTCCCAACTTTGCCACAGCCATCTCCATCTCCCCAGGGTTCTGGGCCTCCAGAGTTCTTGCTATTTATCCTTTCTCTGCCTCTTCCTTGTCATCAATCCATCACTCCTCACTGCTTCCTGCTCTCAATCCATCATCTTTTTTTGTTTTGTTTTGTTTTTTTTTTTTGGAGACAGAGTCTGTCACCCAGGCTAGAGTGGAGTGGCATCATCATAGTTCAAGAACCTCAAACTCCTGGGCTCAAGCAATTCTCCTGCCTCAGCCTCCCAAGTAGCTGTGACTATATGTGTACACCACCACAGCTGGCTAATTTTTCTATTTTTAGTAGAGACAAGGTCTTGTTCTTGCTTAGGCTGGTCTCAAACTCCTGGCCTCAAGTGATCCTCCCACCTCAGCCTCCCAGAGTGCTAGGATTACAGGCGTGAGCCACTGTGCCTGGCCAGCATTTGTCTCTCCTAATCTGCAATTTCTAATTGTCTAAGGACTAAGAAAACAAGGAGGTTAGAATTGTTTCCAAAGTAAGGGTTAAAAGGCTGTCAGCAAGGTTTAGGGGCACTTTCCTGTGAGGCCCTTAAGCAAAAGTACAAAAATTTTCAGGACAGGGGCCAGGTGCAGTGGCTCACCTGTAATCCTAGCACCCTTGGAGGCTGAGGCAGAAGGATTGCTCAAGGTCAGGAGTTCGAAACCAGCCTGAGCAAGAGTGGGACCCTGTCTCTACTAAAAATAAAAAGAAATTAATTGGCCAACTAAAAATACATGGAAAAAATTAGCCAGGCATGGTGGCACATGCCTGTAGTAGTCCCAGCTACCAGGGAAGCTGAGGCAGAAGGATGATTTGAGCCCAGGAGTTTGAGGTTGCTGTGAGCTAGGCTCATGCCACAGCACTCTAGCCGGGGCAACAGAGTGAGACTCTGCCTCAAAAAAACAAAACAAAACAAAACAAAACAAAACAAATGAACAAACCAAAAAAACCCAAAAAACAAAAATTTTCAGGACATAGTGACATCTCAGCAACTAATATGTTCCAAAGTTAGACTATCAAATAATGGAGGGTGTTTTCATTTTAACTGCTCTTCTACCCTCTTCTGGTGCACAGGACCCAGAGTGAGAAGACAGGGTCCCCCAACCCCAACCAGCCTGGGCCAAAACCCAGACACCCCCATTCCAGGTCAGACCCTGCCAGCTTACTGGCCACTATCCCTGATTCAATTGCCCTGCTCACTGCACAGAACAAGCCCTCCCCAGGCCTCCTTGTGTCAGGAATGAGTCTCCCAGTCATGCCTCAGTGCTCTGCATGCACTGTACCTTCTTCCTGGAAGGGCTGCCCTGACAATTGGTTTCCTCATCTCAAAAGACACAGCCCCAGGGAGCAGTCCACTTTCAATATTGAATTGGCACTTCCTGTTCATTCACCTCTCAGGGCCAGTGCTCCTCTGCTACCACCCCTGCCTGGCAGTGGCCAGGACAGTGACCCTGCAGGCACTCCAGTTGACCTTCACCCCCTATCCCATTCCCAAGGGGATTCAGGGGAAAATGAGCCCTTCCCAGGGACTGCTCAGCCCCCAAGGGCTCTGGTTCTCAGCTAGCCCAAACGTAAAGGGAGATGATGACAACAAGATCAAAGGGGAGAAACTGTGTACAGAACTCAAGTCCTCACTGAGGGCTCCATAAGTGAAAGGTATGATTTTATTGTCATTACAAAAAAAATCAGTGGAAGAAAACAGACTACGAAGCTGGTTTCTTTGTTATAATCATTATTTTATAAAGACTCATCAGATATGTATTTCTCTCCCTCTGTCAGGGGCAGGCAACTTCCTGGGCAGGAAGCCGACCCAGCAGAGCTGCAGCAGCAGCCCTCAAGCCAGCACCACTTCCTAACTTGGCACACATGTATGCGGGGCTCACACCAGTGACAGCTCTGTGCATTTAAGGCTCTGCCCCTCGAGGGGGTGAGCCACAGGCTCTGCTGCAGACTGAGGCTTTGGCTCCACTTTCTTGTCCATTTGCCCACTCTCCCCAAACAGGGCTGGGGGCAGGAGAGCACGGACACATTCACAGGTGGATGGGTCAGTGCCAGGACTTCCAGGACTGTCTTGGGTCCAGTAACATATCTCAGGATGGGGCTCTCCACAGGGAGGAACCAGAGAAACTGGGGCAGAGTGGGGTCTCTGGACTACCCAGGGCTCAGGGCAGAGAGGTGGGGTTGGCTCAACTCTGAGACCAACCTCAAGGAGAATAAATAAATAAATACTGTATTCCTGTGCAGTCCCCAGCCTGGCCCACCCCCAGCAAGGGGACTGTCACTGTCAACCCCAGTTCCTCTGGCTGACAACCTCTCAGAAACAGAGGCTGGCTGGAGGTAGGAGGCCCGCCCACCCCAGGTACTGAGAAATGGGGTTGACAGTGTCTACACAGTTCGAGTGGCCAGGGCTGGGAAGTGAGTGGAGGCCTGGGCCCAGCCACAGGTGAGACGAGGTCCTGCCTGTCTCCCTCGCCTCTGATACATGGCTCCCCACAATGGAGCCACATGGGGCCTGAGGGACTCACCTCCCAGTTTGTGACACCTCCCCCTCCACTCCCTTGCTCTTGGTGGCTATTCCTGGTCCAGCTGCCAGACGCATGCAGGCACCAGGATGACTGGAGCGGGGACAGAGGGAGCCCAAGTCCAGCTGGGGCCAGTGTCCCCTCCAGGGTGGGGCTGGGTGAGGCTGGGTAAGGTCCCGGCGCAGTCAGAGCTGGAAAGGGTACTGTCGGAGGTAGTCAGCCATGCGCCGGGGCAGTGGTAGGCAGTCCACGTCGGCCACGAGCCGGTTGATGACAAGGCGGCAGAGGTGCTGCAGGCTGCGGGCACTGCTTCTGCGCACAAAGGGCTGCACCAGTTTCAGGTGCACGGCAGTGGCCGCAGGAGCAGGCAGTGCTGGGTCACCAGGTGCTTCTTCCTTAGGGATAGGCAGGGCTGGGGTGGGAGTGGGATCAGGGCTGTCACTTCGGGTGTCAGCAGCACAGGAGGCCACATAGTGCTGCACAAGGCTGACCACATCTGGGAAGGCCAAGATGCGAGGCCGAGACAGGCAGTTGGAGTCCAGGCGGAAGCTGGAGTCTGCATACTCGATGCGCACATTGGTGGGGCCACGAGTGGTTTTGACCGACAGTGTGAACAGATAACTGGGGTGGGTGCTGTCTCGTACTAGGAACGTGCCCTCTGGCATCTTCTGCAGGTGCTGCCGGGCCTCGCTGGCAGTAATGGACCCCCAATACCAGCCTAGACAAGTAGAGACAGGGCCAAGAGACTGGTTACACTGGAAATTAGTTGGAGGCACCAACCCAGGGCAGGTCAGAGTAGCACTTCCCCCTTCACACTTCCCTGGAGAGGGCTGTGCCTCTTCCATCGGACTCTCTTGGGCAGGGCCATGCCTCCCAAATCAGACTCAACAGGTGCAGCTAAGCTTCTCCCACCAGACTTCCTAGGACAAGGCCTGCCCCCCTCAGGCTTACCAGATTCCCGAAGGTAAGAGAAAGTCTTGGCTATGCACAGCAGATCCTCCTCAGGGTCCAGCACCTTGGGCTCACTCTCCGGCTGGGCTGGGGTCTCTTCTGTTACCTCCTCCAGGAAGGCCCCGGCAGGCAAGGGCTGCATGACTGGCTCAGGCAGTTCCAGGGACTGGGCCCACAGGGGCCGCTGCCCGATCCGTTCCACAGCCAGCAAAGGACAAGGTCTAAAGGAGGTGGTTGGGCAGTGAGTAGAAGCCCCATCCTTCCCTCATTTCCAGAGATCCCCATGCCCCAGACTAGCTGCATGACCTTGGGCTGGCCCATCTCACTACGAGCCTCAGTGTCCCCTTTACCCAGCCATAGGTTCAATTAGCCCAGTATCCTATCCTACACTTGCCATCACAAAAGCCCCCTTGAGTGTTTCCCCAATGTGCAGATACTCTTTTTTTTTTTTTTTTTTTGAGAGAGAGGTCTCGCTTTGTTGCCCAGGCTAGAGTGAGTGCCGTGGCGTCAGCCTAGCTCACAGCAACCTCAAACTCCTGGGCTCAAGTGATCCTAATGCTTCAGCCTCCCAAGTAGCTAGGACTACAGGCATGCACCACCATGCCCAGCTAATTTTTTCTATATATATATTAGTTGGCCAATTAATTTCTTTCTATTTATAGTAGAGACGGGGTCTCATCTTGCTCAGGCTCGTTTTGAACTCCTGACCTCGAGCAATCTGCCTGCCTCGGCCTCCCAGAGTGCTAGGATTACAGGCGTGAGCCACAGTGCCCAGCCCAGATACTCTTTTTAAAGATTCTTCTCTATCCCTCTGCATTTATCAAACGGTAATTAATCTATTTTGTATCAGCCCCAAACACAGATCATTCCCTACAGGCATTGCAAGTATGGTCAGCACCCTGATGGGAGCCAGTGCAAAGCAGTGTCACAGTTGTGTCCTGGCTGAGGTAGGCTGATTAAATGGGTCTAGTCCTAGTTGAGACTGCAAGGGGTCCACCGGAGAGATCTCAAGATTACAGTAGGATACCTGAGGTCACATGCTACCTCCCATGGGTAGGAGGACTCTCAGAAGAGCCTAGGTCCACACTGGACAGGACTTAGAGGCTGAAACACCCCCCTACCCATACAGACTTCCCCATCCTGGCCTCTGCTTCTCTCAGCTGAGGGTCTGGAGTGGACAGTGGCATCTAAAAGCACTGGCAAATCTACCTCCCATATAAATATGAGTGCCCACCAAAGGGCAGGGTACTTACGCCACATTCCAGATCCCACCCTGGCAAGCCAGTCCTACTAGGCTCTGTGACCCAGGCATCCTCAAACTACGGCCCACAGGCCACATGCGGCCTGCCTAAGACATTTATCCAGCCCGTTGGGTGTTCTTGCCGCCACCGCCTGTCCTGCTTAGCAGCTGACTCGTCCCGGGCCCACAGTATGCACTCTCCAACGGTCTGAGGGACAGTGAACTGGCCCCCTGTTTAAAAAGTTTGAGGACCCCTGCATGACCTGTGCAAAGCTTCTCCCCAGTGGGTTTCAGTTTCCCCTCCCCCCAATAAGGGATCCCACCAACCCGCATACTCAGAGGTTCGGCAACACAACATTCTTGGACTGTTGGGGTTGGGGGAACTGAACCGGCTAAAATCTTAGTAGCTTCCTCCTAGAGGAAGCCCATGCAGCATGGTGATCCTAGGGCTTCCTCCCTGGGAGTGGCGCAGGGACTGGCACCACTTCCCAAGGAAGAGATTGCTGATTCTCCCTCACTCCTTATAAAATACATCCCTAGGCCTCAGTTCTGGGGATAGTCCCTGGCTGGGCCTTAGGACACTGAGATTGGGCCTGGCCCTCAAGGACCGGCTGGGGAAGGTGGCACTAAGAATGATTATAACTCAAAGTCATAAAAGTGCAGGGTGTCATGGGGGAGTCAGAATCTGCTTGGCCAAAGGAGGGAGCTGGGGGAAGGCACTCCATGCAGAGATGACAGCATGGGCAAACAGTGTCAGGTATTGCCTGTAAGGTGGGAAGAGGTGGGCAGGAGCTGGTAGTAGGAGGCAGGCAAAGGAGCCAGACACAACAATGTAGGTTATAGGTGACCCTTAGGAGGTTCTAACAAATCATGGCCCTATAACCACTCATGGGGAGAAGGGATCTCACAGCCCTGGCACACTGGAGCTTGCCAAGTACTTCTCCATACCTACCCTGGCTACACTGTGGAAGCTCTGAAATCCCACTTGGGGGGCAGGAGGCCAAATTTTGAGATGATCTGCCTGCTGGGGCCCAGCACAACCTTCCCAGGAGCATAGAAGGTGGCTAGCCAGTCAGGTTGAAACCTCTGGCGGTGGCCATGTCCAGACAGCTAAGGAACCTACAGCCTCAAGACCACAGGTGGCCCTCCAGATCCCCAAATGTGGCCCCTCAACTGAATCCAAATGTCATAGAACAAATCTCTTTATTAAAAGGATTTGTTTTATAAAATTTGGATTCTGTCAAAAGGCCACACTCATGGATCCAGAATGCCACATGTGGCCCCAAGGCCACAGACTCCCCACACCCGGCTCTGACTGGTCCCCCATGTGGGTGTGGGCACCTCTGGGGCTGATATGGTATCTGGGTGTGTGAATGGCAGTGTGGATCCCCACAAGCTCCTGGCAAGTGACTGTGTATCTGGACAGGGGTGTGTCCATGGCTGTGTCATCGTCATGGTGGGGGCGGTGGCTGGTGTGTTCCAGGTACATGTGTGTGCTTGCTGTGGAGCCCAGCAGTGAGTCCTACCTGGGGATACATGCCAGTGGGGTGAACTCCCCTTAGGGTTACCCTTCAGCAAAGCTGCCAGCCCAAACTTACAGCTAGGAATGCCGGCTCCTCATCCCAGGGGGCTACCAGCTGTTCTGTGGCTGTGTGGGGGGGAGATCTGTTAAAAACCTTGTCCCCTGACACCCTACACTGGCACTGAGGTTACAAAGGGGTGCTCGGCTAGGGCAAAGCAAAAGAGGCTATGGGACCTGGAATGGGGTAGGGGATTCTGAGGAGGAAGGTAGTGGTAGGGGCAGGAGTTCGGGAGTTCCAAAATTCAGAAAGGAACATGCTGGAGACAACCAGGGAGTAGCAGCCTTCCCAGCAACACCATGTCCTCTTTTGGACCAAAGACTGCTCAAAGCAAGGGGCACTTCAGCTTGCCCTCAGCTTCTACCCTTCTTCACTTGGGACCGTGCCAGTTCTGGTAACAGCAGCCACTAGGCCACCCAGTTCTCCCTGGGTGTGAAACACCCATGTATACCTCCTCCCTCTCTCCTTGGAGCTGCCTGAGCTCCTGTCAGATAGTGTGGAAAGCATCAGACCCTTTGGCTGAAGAAGTTGCTGAGGCTCAGGGCAGAGTGGATGTGCCCAGAATGCTCAGCTGGGGCCAAGACTGTCTTTTCCGCGTCCCCCCTCTACTGGCTCCCACCCCATGTCTTTGGGAAACTTGGAGGGGGAAGGCAGGAGCCACTCTCCTTCTCACATTGGGATCTCAGATGGGGCTGAGAGGAGGGGTGAGCCGATTGTGGGGCTACCCCAGGCAGGAGGCCAAACCCAGACTCTCCCAAGAGCTTCTGGTTATCAGGTGCCAGGCAGGGGAGAAGCAAGAATCTCAGGGGTGCTTCCCAAGAAGAGCCTAATTGGTAGCTGAGGCAGAAGAGTGGACACAGAAGAGGGGCAGGGGCTGGCCCAAGGTCACCCATTGGCAGGGCAGCCGGCAGGCTAGGGTACAGCCCTCAGAAGATCTGAGCTGGTGAGCCACATCTTGGAGGACGCCGTCAGCGTTCACCTGCTCCAGTGAGAACTCAGCCGAGCCCACCTTGTGTTTCTCCCGTCCGGCCAGCCCCCAGTTTCCCTACCCACAGTGTGAGTTGAGGGGAGGGGGGTGCCACAGCCCCATACAGCGCCGCACTCCAAAAGTCCTTACGCGCTCGGTCACCTCCGGCCCGCCAAGCCCTCCCAGTGCCCCGCAGCTAGCACGAAGCCCGTGCTTTCCCGTGCGCCCGGCGCAGAGGCTGGGCGGGGGCGGAGAGCCGCGCTTACCCCTGAACGCAGAGGACCATGTCCCCGCGGCGGCGGCGGCTGCTGGCGCGCGGGGAATCGGCTGGACGGCGGCGGCGGCAGGGAGTAGTCGGCGGGCGCGGAGCGCGCGCGGGGCAAGCTCCCGGGGCGCGCGGCGGCGGGCAGGGACTGAGAGGTTGCGGCGCCGACCGCAGGGAAGGGCGAGGGGGGCGGGCCAGGCGAGCAGGGCGGGGCGAGCTGTCGCCTAATCCTTTGTCCGCCGCGACCCAGCCCTTCCCGGAAGCGGCGTCTTCCTAGAACAGCAGGCTGGGCCGGGGGCCCGAGCGGGTGAGCCGGCGCCGGCGGCGCTGTCTGGTCCCGGGGCTGTGAAAGGAAACACCTTTGACAGATTTCCAAGAACTTTCCAGGAAAACGGGGCGGGGCCCCGTGGGCTGACCAATCACAGCGCAGAGATGGAGCGCAGCGGCCAGGGCGGGCCAATTGCAGCCCGTGGACCCGGCTGACGTGACCTGGCGGGGCGGGACCGGGAGACCAGTAGGAAAGACCGGGTTGGGGGAGGTTAAGGAGTGGTCAGGCCCCGCAACCCGAGCCCAGATTGCTTCCTGGCCGTCTGCTTCGTTTGGGAGGGGCCCTCTTGTCTCACTGTCTAACCCGTGGCGGCGCGGTGGCGAGGTCCCAGCCCTGTCCTCCCTACTAGCCTCCCCGCCAAGGCGGTCTGTCGGGGTGTGCAGGCTCCCCCTGTTGGGCTGCGCCTCGACCCCGGGACTCTGTATGTGGGGTTGGGGGGAGGTGGGTGGCACGAGGTGGGGTTTGGAGAGGGACATAGGGGAGGGGCAGGGTGCAGAGGGCGGCCCCAGAAATGAGCAAGTCCACTGAGGTCAAGCCTGCGGCCACCACAGCCAAAAGAATCCAGGCAAGAACGTTTTCTTTGAAAGAGTTGGGGGAGAAGGCACATCCAACCCCTTGTGCATCAGGCGAGACCAATGGTCTCTGCAGGTACTGACTCCGGCTGGCCCCTGCCAATCAGGGAAGAAGTGACTGCAGATTTGAGGAGGCAGGCAGGGACGGTCAGCCTCCCCAAATGCTGACAGACCTGAAGCTCTAAACACCCAGAGATAATCTGGGGGGGTGTGGAACAAAGACACCTGCTCCCATCTACAACAGTACTTGCTACATTTGATCTTCAACAGCTAGTATTGCCCCCATTATGCAGATCAGAAGACACAGCCCCAGGGAACAAACTGTCTTGTTAGGAAATAGGAGGGCTGGAACTTGATCCCAGTTCTGAGTCAGAAGCCCACACTCCTACCCCGACCCCTTCCACCATTTTTCAGTTCATTGGACTCACCAGGGAGCATGTGGAAGGACTATAGGGTTTGGGCAAACCTCCTCCAAATCCTTGGGCCAGAAGAAGGGTGGGGCAGCTGGAGGGAGTGGGATTTGGAGAGGAGGCAGGGTCTACTCCCTACCTCTCACTGCCCAGTGTGTGCCCTGGGGTTCCCAGGAAAGAAGGCAAGCTTTGAGATCCAGGGCAGAGGTGACAGACCCCTGGCAGTGTTTAAGGGCCTGAATGATAAGGTCCAGGTTTTCCCCAGGGCAGACAGGGCTCAGCTTGCCACTTCTCTGTACCTTTCCTGAAGGGAAGCCAGACTTCAGTGTAAGCACTGCAGCTCCCTCCCGACTTGGTCAGAAGCCAGTTTCTTGGGATGGGGTGGGGTGTGATGGATACCTCATAACCTGCTTTGAGAGCCAGGGTGCCTGGGGGCCTTGTGTGGGGTGCTATCTAGTAGGAACTGTCCACTGTCCCAGTACTATGAAGACAAAGGGGCTTTGCAGCTGCCATGCAACCAAGCCATGATTTTGAAACTGGGTCTTTATGGGGCCAAATCCCAAGCTTTCTACCCCAAGACTATACTCCTTCCCTCTTGCCCTGACTATTCTACTGTACACTTACTATATGCCACGCACTGTCAGCAATTTCCAGTCTCATTTCATTGTCACAACTACCACAGTCAAGGAAACTGAGGCACAGAGAGATTACAGTGTATCTTAGGCCTCATAGCTGATAAGTAGTGAGCTGGAGTCAAGACCCTACATCCTTCTACTCACTTCTTCTCTAGGTGCCACTGATCTGCTAACTCCTAGGCATCCTTCAGGATCAGATTTAAGGTCCTCAGTGAAGTTTCCTTGTCCTCAGGCTAGTCAGTGTCAGAGCACCAAAGGTGTTCCCTGGAACGCGTTGTCTATAGTGGTCAGTCTGTGTAAACCAAAGGGTCCCAAGGGCTTTGGCCCTCCAACTATTTTTTGTGAATTTAACTGCACTGCACACCTGGCCTGTATGCTGGGAACAGTGATGTGTCCCTGTTCTGCTCTAGGTGCCTGCTGGCCTCAGGCTTGTGGGTCTCTCTGGCCAACTCCTTGTTACCTAATTCTGTCCTGGCTTCTCACCACAAGCCCCGGGTCTGACTGCTGGGCCCATGCTGCCACCCAGTGGTGCTCCCTCTCATGGCCTCAAGAGCCAAATCTCCAAAGATCGTCCTTTCCAGGATGATCCCTCCTCTGCACCGCGGGGATTGGCCTCACTGCAGGATGCCCCCACCCCTCCCCACCCAGAACAGTCATAAGATGGGTCACAAGAATACACAGCAGTGCCTTTCTCAAGTCAGGCTCATTTATTCTCCATCCTCTCCCCGTGTACAGCCTCCCCTGTCCTGTCCCCAAAGGACAGTCCACATGTGTGTGTTGGTGAGGGAATTCAGCCCCCCCCTCACTCAGGCACTTACTTACTGGACCCCTTAGTCACTGTAAGACATTCCAAAAGCCTCAGTCTCTGTTTCCGTAGACACACAGCTATTATGGTTGGCTGTGTGGCAGAGTCTGCCACCATGAACCCACTCCTGCCCAGGCCCAGCCTTCTCACATACTGAATCCTCCCATCACTGTGAAGGTGGATGTGGCAGGTAGTTGCTGGAACATGAGCACTGAGGGAAAATCACATTCTCACCATGCGGGGGTTGAGTGAGCAATTGCAAAGCATCTGCCTCTAGTGGAGCCATGTGGGGAACGTGTGTGCCTATAGAAGTGGGGGCATTGGTTATGGGGACTAGGAAGGGAGAGGCAGTGCCATTGCTTACCTTTTACACTTCTGTATGGTTTGAGTTAATTACAATTAGCAAGTTTTACTTATATGATTAAAAATTTTAATAAAAGAGACCAGCCTAAAAATACAATTCTAAAATTTTTAGAATAATTGTAATCTAACTCCATTTTTAAGAAAAAGACATCTTCACAGAGCATGCACTGAGATGACCTTGGCTGGGACAAGAGCCAGCCTCCACTCTCATCTGCCTAAACTTCTGCTCATCCAGAATGAGACCTTGCTCAGTCTCAGGTTCACTGGGCCTAAACCAGTTGCCTTCAACGTCAGAGCCGTCCCTAGACTGCCAGCAGTAGTGTCAGGTTTCAATCTGAAGCTTTCAGTTCTTGGCGCGCCCATGGTCGAAGAATGACCAGACACACCACAGTCAGGCAAGCATGAAAATGAGATTTATTGAAGAGAGAAAGATAGGACTATAGGGCAAGAGCAAGATACAGGTTTACAGAGCATGGGACATACGCCACAGGTGACCACTGGACCCACTGTCGCAGCAAGGCAAGTAAAAGGAAGGACAAAGAGAGAGAGACTGGCTATGGTCTGCTTCCTATTCCATAGTGTCCAGATAGGGACCTCCCTTGTGGTTCAGAGGTCTCCATGGAACCACTTTGATTAGACAGTTGGGAGTCACATGACCTGAGCCTTAACTACACATGTGGCTTCTAGGTCACTTTCCAGACTTTATTGTACCCATGGGCTTGGCCCATGGGTTAGAGAGTCCTCTGCATTCTTTTGCAGCTGGAGCACGAAGTTCTGATTGGCAGATTCATAGGATATTCCCTCTTCCCCTAGGTATGGAGAATTAGGGTTGGGCAGGACCAGGATGGGGGTAACAGCACCAACCCACTTTTGTCCCTAGGAGACCTGGAATCCCTCACTATCTACCTAACAGTAGAAGCTTCCAAATTGCAGGGCTCTGAGGTGGGGCTCAAGGAAATAGACCCTGGTCCAGCTGGGCATAACTGTGTGTGGGTATGTATGTACACATGTGCATATGTATCTATGTGCGTGCCCGGGTGTGTGCATGTGCATCTATGCACATACAGACCCGTTAGGTTTGTTCTGGGTGGGTACCCGAAAAATATCTATAGGATGGAATAGTGATCATAAAGCCTGGGAAAATAGCTGTAGGAATCTGGAGAGTCCAGAGATTGTAAATCTAACTCTGACCACAGACAGTTGCAGCAACGCCAGCATTCCTATCCCCCCTGATAAGAACAAAGCTACCCCCCCAATCTCTGCAGGATGAGACTGAAGTAGGGGTCTCAGAAATTGGTTGTTTGAAAATAATTTATTATAGTGGCTGTCCTGGTCCAGTTGCTCACTTCCCCCAGAAAAACCCTCTATAAAACTCAAGGCTAGGGCTGGGCTCGGTGGCTCACGCCTGTAATCCTAGCACTCTGGGAGGCCGAGGCGGGCGGATTGCTCGAGGTCGGGAGTTCGAAACCAGCCTTAGCGAGACCCCGTCTCTACTAAAAATAGAAAGAAATTAATTGACCAACTAAAAGTATATATACAAAAAATTAACCGGGCATGGTGGTGCATGCCTGTAGTCCCAGCTACTCGGGAGGCTGAGGCAGGAGGATCACTTGAGCCCAGGAGTTTGAGGTTGCTGTGAGCTAGGCTGACGCCACGGCACTCACTCTAGCCTGGGCAACAAAAGTGAGACTCTGTCTCAAAAAAAAAAAAATACAAAAACAAAACAAACAAAAAAAACTCAAGGCTGTCCCCTCCCTCATGGTGGACGCTCTTTAGGCCTCCACCCATCTGTACCTAGATGCTCAAAATAAGCAGCACTTTGCTACACAAGAGGCTTCGGGTGTCTCCCTCTCAGCTCCAGACCTA